CAAAATGGACGTTATTTTGCAATTTGCGACTAAAATTTCTGGCTTATCTGTAAGAATCTTATGTGCAGAGGGAAACTAACAGTGTGTATGTTGTTTCTAAACTGAGCCAGAAATTATAGTTCCTAATTGCAAAATATTGTCCAAATGGATTGCATTCAGTAAAAAGGAACCAATGTGATTAGTGTTGTAAAAATGTTGCTTCTTCATGGGTATCTAAAAATCGCTCAGAATGGCAAATAGTTTTTACTTCCCGCCAAAAAATTATTAATTTTAAATGAAAATAATTGTGTAAACTTTAACACCGTTTGTATATTGAGTATTTTTAAAAGGACAGAAGAAGTTGCATGATTTTGAAAACACTGTAGTCGCGCTGGTTCTTTTTTGCTAATTTCACTGGAAAAAAAAACACTTTGGATCTAGAGTCCAGACTCTTGAAAACGTTGACAAGAAAAAATACTCTTGATTCAATCAGATTTTTGCTTAAATCAAAAGGAAATCCGCTTAAATTATGAGGCTTGATTCTTGATTTAAGCAAAAATCCGATTGAATCAAGCTAGAGTATTTTTTCTTGTCGATGTTTTTAAGAGTCTGGACTCTAGATCCAATGTGTTTTTTTCCAGTGTGCGATCCATTTAGACAATATTTGTACGTATTTATGCTAAATGGAACTATGCGCAAGAGGAAAGATGGAGTGTTCTCGTTAGTGCTCGGGCCATAATGAATGGGAAATATAAAGCGCCAGTGACGTCAGCGGAAAGACGGGAGCGACGACGGTCGGCAAGGCGGTCTTTAACTCATGAGCCCTGTCCACAACGCTCTCTTCATATGCCCACGGCTCACGAGTTAGCGCTCAGTTCCTTTTGATTTAATTGAAAATCCCGCTTCTCCATTTTCTCAAGAGGAACTATATCCACTTTTACATTCTTTCTTAAGCAGCTTGCACGAGCACACTACATATCCCACTTCCACATAGTTCTTTTTAGCGTAGATGTACGTCCATTTTGCAAATAAGAACTATAATTCCTGGCTCAGTTTAGAAACAACATACGCACTGGTTGTTTCCTTCTGCGCATAAGATTTTTACAGATAAGCTAGAAATTTTAGTTCCAAATTGCAAAATAATGTCCATTTTGGATTGAACTAAGCTGAAGGGAAACAAGTCACATTTTGGGAGAAAATGAGTGAGAATTATTTTGAGGTTAACCGCTCATTTTCTCCCAGCGAAAATTGAAAGTTAAAAAAGCGTATTTTTAGTGCAAAAATAGGAGTCGAAATTCATCTCTATATTTCATTGAAGCTAAGGGAGGAATAAAACTTCAAACCTCTCCTTCTCGATTCAATCTCGGAGCGACTTGATTCCTTTCCGCGGCGTGGCGTGCTTATCGACATATCGATTGATATACCATTTGAACCTGTGGTAAAAAATCGATTATTAAGGTGTTCGCAGCGAGCACCCTAAAAATCGATCCTTTACCACAGCTCAAATGGGAAAATATCGATAATCGGTCATTCACGCCACGCCACTGATTCCTTTCTGCTCGATTTGGTAAGTATATTCAGTGTCTGAGAGACAATTTAAACCTTATCAAAAATAAAAAAAATGCAGATTGCAAACTTGCAATGCAAGCTGCAAAAAAAAGGAAGGGAAAAACCCCATATCAGGTCGATGAATGTCTCTTGGTCAGGACCGGATTAAGGGTGGAGCATAAAAAGCGGCTGCGCTAGGCGCCATCACAACCGGGAAGCTAAAAAGAGAGGATAAAAAAATGAAAAAAGGTGGAAAGAGAGGAAAAGGAAAGATCAAAGTTTAAAGTCTAAAGTTGAAAATGTCGTTGGAGGCGCAGCTTTCATTGTTTAATCTTATTCATACCCCGGTTTCCTTTGAAGGATGAATGGCAGTCCCTTATGTTAATTGTCGAGGTATGCAGCGTAATTTTGAAAGTATTCCAACAGGATTAGAAAAATGGTACATATTTAACATAAATCGGCATCAAAAAGTCCACAATTCGCCCATCCCTGTTGGAAATATACTAGCCGCTAAAGGTGGGAAACAGAGACTCTTTCATAAAATACCAGATCACTAAATTGACTCAACAGCTTAGAAAAGTAATGTTGAATCCTTTGATTGTTAGGAAGCCCCTCGGAACTTCGCTGATAGGGCAAAAAAAGACTTTAAATTGTACATTCATGACAATTCAGATCTCATTCCGTCACCTTCCGTCCAAAGTATCACAAGCACCATGATGCGACGTTTACAAATGTCCACCGCCATTTTAGTTTTTCACAGAGAAATTGTTCAACGAAGCTGTCCGAAAATCTCACTGAACTTTTTTTGTGCTGCCGATAAAATTAAAAGAAATTTTCAAACAGATTCAACCAACAATTTCTCCGTAAAAAAATAAAAAGGCGGCGGAAATTATGAAACGTCGCATGGCGCTCGTAATACTTTGGCCGGAAGGTGAAAATTTGTGGAAATTGGTGAAAAATTGGTGGAAATGTGTGAAAAATCGCACATGGATGGGCCGATTTTGGATTTTTGGTGTCGATCTATATAAAAAAAAACATTATTTCTTATTTGCATGGAATAATTTTAACACTAAGCCTGGAACTTTGGATTTCCAAACCAGAGCCCTTTGTTACCTTCCAAAGGGGACCATGGGGCCTCCAGGATTATGAAATTTATGTTCTTTGGATCGACTCCCATTTCTTTTTCCGGCTTCGTCCACCCGTTATCAACAAAGAGAAAAGGCCGGTGCAGATGACCTGGACGGCCTGGACCCTCATATGCTTCACAGAAAAGTGTGCAGTCAACGCGTTTCACGCGGAATAATTTCTCGCCCTTCCTTATATTTTTGAAAGCTATTGTATAGTTGAGCTCCCTTTCAGTTTTTCTAGATAAGTAACGAATTTATCGGGGTGTTAATGGTGAGCTCTGCGATAGACACACAGTCTTATGGTTTGACCGAACCAATAAGAAATGTGTGCTTTTTTTGGTAGATACCGTCCACTTAGCGTTCACTCTCAATTTAAGCGCAAAGGCACCCCAAGGCAACCCGCGAAACAAGTCATCGTTACCCGCACGAAGGAACGTAACTCCATTCCAACGTTGCAAAATTGACTCAAACAATTCAGTTTTATACAAGAATGTATCGGTGCAAGTTTTCCTCAAATTTTGTCTGATTTTCGCATGAAAGGAGAGGAAAAATCAGGAAAATTTTTGTCAGAAATGTCCAAAATTCTCCAGGTAAAAATACAATTTGCGAAGGAAAATTTGGCAACATTGAAAGTTAGTTACGTTCTTTCGTTTGGGATCCGACGAAGTGTCGCTTTTAAAGCCTTGCGTTTATATCACTCCGTACGGTCTGGACTTGTTTACGATACTCTGAATTTATAAGTAGTAGTGACCATTTGAAGTTCACCTTATCAATTTCACCTCTCACGGAACAAATCTAGCAGAGGGAGTGGATAGATATCGATTCGGAAAACATATTCATCTGTAGCTAAATAAACTTGAAGAAATGCTTCACAATGCTTGGACATATGGGCAGATGTTGTCGATGAACTTTGCTGCATAGGCAACAAACGTACCGGAGAGCGTGAAAAGTTATCTACTTTGAAAACACACTACTTAAAAACCTTAATGCCTTAGAGTGCCTTACGCGCCCTCGTCTGTAAATTGTTCATATTAAATTTCTCTTATGTAATTTAGTCCACAAATATGAATTTTCTATGAAAAAACATTTACTTGTAAAATTTTGCTACCAAGTGAATCGTATCAAAAATGATTTTCCTCGAAAAAAGGTGTGATATCACTTTAAATACACGTCACGTGATCCCAAGAAGATTTGATTCGATAAAAATTTCGAAACATTTTTGATAAGCTTTTTTAGCAGAAAAATTTAAAAATTTCTATGGAATAAAATCTTGTAAAAATGACGTAAAATTTACACAAGGTTGTAACATCAAGCATATTGGAGCTCTTTTTTGCCGCAGGGTCACTTAGACTTCATTATATTGTTAAGTACTTGTGCTACAAGGAAAATAAGGTCTTTAAAAGTTTAAGCTAATATGATGTTGGTAAACCGTACTAGTAAAATCAATATTTGTGTGTTCGAACTTTTTCACAAAACTTGCATGGTCTCAGTGATGAATAGATGCAATGAATTCATTCATACGAAACTGGCATAAAAATTACTTGCCACTTTGATTGAAGAGTTTTTAGAATATAATTTGTATTGATTTTGATTATCTTGACAAATTTTAAGAGTAAAATAAATAATTTTGGAGACGAGAAAACAAAATCATGAGAATCTGCTCACAAAATTCATACTCTTTATCAACAATTCTATTCGACGATTTGCCTGAAATTAACATTTGACGCCATTGCGATTCCGAAACTCCGCGGTAGTCATAAGGAGACGTTGGTGATGAAGAGAAAAAAAATGTTTTAGTAGAGGAAAGTATATAATAAGTGAGAAAGTGTAAAATTTATAAGAACGTTACAGTTAAGAAAATACTTTATAGTAGTATCGGATGCAGTTTATAGTAGGGTTAAAAAAACCGCAATCTACGTATGTAAAATTAAATGGTGTTGGTAGCAAAGCTGGCGCTACGATATGCGTTGTAACTAATTCAAAAGCGTACCATAGTAGGGAAAATTTACACGTATTGTGCTTTCATTAGTGAAGGTTACACTGAAATCATCAACTAAAAATGCATATAATGGTCTTATCATCACGCACGAACTAAAAAAAAGAAATCCCTGCCTTACGCTTCAGATCGAGTCACGAGACTTCTAAAATTTCAAAAAAATTTCAAATCTAATGAACCATAAACACTGCTGATAAGAGAGGCTCGTTCTTAAAAATAAGGTACGCTCAGAGGTAACTTCAAAAGTCCCCAATTAACACGATTTAAAGATTCTTATTTTTTCCATTACTACAGGTGTAAACAGTCAAAAAGCGGCGGTGCAGGCACCAACTGCAGGAGATGAAGTGAGAAAGACACGGCCGAGAGAAAGGAGTGAAGAAAAAAAATCGCAAGATTCGCAAGGCAGGTCTTTGGTCTCTGCCATGCGGGCAGAAAGTTCAACAACTGATAGGACTCACACAATCCGATGACGTAATGATGTAACAGTGGCACACTGCCGGGCAGCTTCCACCTCAAAAAAAGACGAAGATAACAAGCTACCTCCTCCCACCCAAAAGTCACCGGCACATCCATACCCCCTCTCCGGCCGGGCCCTCGTTTTGGGCGATTTTAAGTCATATCAAATGTTAAAATATAAAAGGATGAGCCGCAGTCTCCAACGTCAGTAGCATCCTCACTTGCTCGGTGCAACAATGAATCCTCTTGTAAGTTCTCTCTTATTATTAGTATTATTCTATGTTTTTATCGACTCAATGAAATTTTAAGGGGGGATTTTGAGGCAACGGAAAGCAAAATCTCGCGATTTTGGGGGGTGTCCCATCAACCTCTACAAGATTTTCATCCCTTCGATTAGTGCTCGACCACGGTACTCGACTCTTTTTTAAAGTTTTTGGTATTCGATTTAGGGGTAGCTCGTGTGAACCGCTGTCAAAGCGGGAGTTTATTAAAATAAGGGTTGAATTTTATTTACTCTGTATGATGTGTCCAGTGTATCTAACTGTAAATAGTCACCGTAAGTACTGCGACTACTTTAGGAAGCACAAGATTTGCCCCGGTAAAAATTCCCAAAAAGTCACATGTTACCAGCCTTACTTGCACTGCATTTTTTTTTTTTTTCCAATCTTTATTTCATTTCTCCTACTTGCACTGCATGATCACTGTTAAATCTCACATGATCTCATCATATAATTGATATTGCTGACTAGACGTTTATGAAATTTCTCAAACATCTGATTATTGATCATAAAAAATTAAAATCTTAGAAATTTGGCAATTCTTACGGGACAATTTTCGCCATTACTCAACGATTCTCAGTTGCGTGGAAAAACGGTAGATTTTTTCTACCAACGATTTGAAAATAGAGACTCTTTGCTCTAAAAATAATGGTTCTTCCACAGTTTGTTTTTGTGAATCATTTTATTAAAAATGCATCTGAAATCTAAAATTTTCATCTCACGGGGCTCTCATCTCGCAAAATGATTTGTAAACAATTTAAACATATTTGAAAAAGAAAGTTGAATCGACCCGTTTTATCTAACTTAATCTGAGAGGACAAAATGCATTTTTTTTCTTTTCTCATTTTGTATTTAGATGAAAAATTATTTCAAAAACTGATTGACTAATTGTGACTGACCCAGTCTGATGACTGGATATCTTTTCTTTTTGAAAAATGAAAGTTTTCCAATTCTTGTTCATTTACATAAAAAAAAATACTTCATTTATGTTGCGGATTTGTGTGAAATAGTTTTATCAAATTTAATGTCCGTTGCTTCTTTCAAACACGTTTCAAACCAGAATGACAAAGAATTGATAGGAGAATCTGAAAATCTTGTCATTCAACAACCTTGCAATCCTCTTTAATTCCCAATGTTCATTGGTGTCATGTTTCTATTGCCATTTTGTTTTGTCTTTTTTGGATGCGTGAAGTAGCAAAATCTGTGTTAAATTCTTCTTCTTTAACCATGCTAAACATTATGTTTTCAATTTTCCCCCTTTTTTCTCTTTTTTTTGTTTTGAACGTGATACTGAATCCGACCTTCAAAGTAGAGTTTCAAAGTCGAATTGGGAGTTCAAGTAAGAGTGAGGAGCGTGCGCTTTTGAGATAAATCCTTTAAAACATACTGAGGGAATACGTGATGACCTCCTTAATCTTTAAAACTAAAAAAATTTGCCCATTTGACACAAAGGAGATTCGACGGATGAAAACTCTGTAAAATGTGCTGAAAATCAAATATCTCAAAATCGGTGATACAATTCCATTAGGTCCGCTATACTTAAATAATGGCATTATAAAAATTACTCCTATTTCTGCTCGCTCAAAATAGTCTCATGAATGCTCACATAAAGTTCCGATTGAGCCGACGTGAAATTTTCATTTTCAAAGTGATGTTAATTTGCCCCTTTTTTTCTCGCATAATATAATCTAAACCGAGCATTCTCCTTTTGTTTCCTTTGCAGTACACCCTTGGGGCCTTGTGCTTTGTCGCAGTATGTTCTGCTGCCGTGTCGACCACTGAAAAGAGCGCGTTGAAAAATGACAAACGCTCCCTCGACAGTTACGGCGGCTACGGCGGGTCCGTAGGCTCAAGTTACGGAGGCTCCAGTGGAGGCTACGGCAGCTACGGCGGTTCCTCCCTCGGAAGCAGCTACGGCGGTTCCTCCCTCGGAAGCAGCTACGGCAGTTCCTCCCTCGGAAGCAGCTACGGCAGTTCCTCCCTCGGAAGCAGCTACGGCGGTTCCTCCCTCGGAAGCGGCTACGGTAGCAGCTTCAACGCCCCCGCCCTACAGCACGGTTTCGTCCCAAGCGCAGGGCCCTATGGGCCAGCCATAAGCGGCGGAAGCTACGGTGGTAGCTACGGCAGCGGCTACTCAGACGCCTCATACGGATCCGCTGGCATCTCTGGCGCCTCTTACGGTGGTGCTTCCTACGGTGGTTCTTCCTTCGGTGGTGCTTCCTACGGCGGTGGCTACGAAGAGACCGGCCCTGCCCAGCTTCTCGCCAAGCATGTCCACGTCCACAAGAAATACGGAATCCCCGTCGCTAAGCCCTACCCAGTGCACGTCACCAACACCGTCCAAGTCCCAGTCCCACAACCTTACCCTGTCCACGTCCCCAAGCCCTACCCAGTCCACAAGCCATACCCAGTTCCCGTCCGCGTCGAGAAACCAGTCCCAGTGCCAGTTGTTAAGCACGTGCCCGTCCATGTCCCTCACCCTGTCCCCGTCCCAGTGGCCAAGCCAGTTCCCGTCCCTGTAGCCCGCCCAGTGCCAGTTCCTGTACACAAGACCGTCCAAGTTCCTCACCCAGTACCCGTTCCCGTTACCGTCCACAAACCAGTCTACGTTCAAGCCCCTGCTGTTTCCCACGGCTCCGGTGTTGTCTGTGATACCTCCTCCTCCATCGGCGCCGGTAGCGTAGGCAGTGTTGGCTCCTTCGGCGGATCTTACGGAGGTGCATCCTTCGGCTCTGGAGTCGGTTCCTACGGATCCGGCTTTGACAGTGGATCTTACGGAGGTGCTTCTCTCGGAGGCGCATCTTACGGAGGCGCATCCTACGGATCCGGCTATGACACTGGATCTTACGGAGGTGCTTCTCTTGGAGGTGCATCTTACGGAGGATCTTACGGATCTGGTGCTGGATCTCTCAGCTCATACGGATCTCATGGCTCAATTGAATCCATCGGATCTGGAGCCTCCTACGGTGGCATCTCATCTGGTTCCTACGGTGGATCTTACGGATCTGGTGGTCTTGAATCTGTCGGAGGTTCTTACGGAAGCGGGGCCTCTTATGGAGGCGGCTCATCTTACGGTGGATCGTACGGAAGTGGAGCTTCCTACGGCGGATCTTATGGTTCCTCCGGCGACGCCAACGCCTGGAAAAACGATTAATTGATACTCGTGCGATCTCTAAAAGACTGAGATGTGACCCTCACAGGTATGAATCGCTTTATTAAGTCATTTGTTCATTTCGTTAGTTCAAAGTTACTTAGCTTGCAAATTTCTTGACATAAAGACGTGAAGAATCGGTCGATCACTTTTTATTTAAAATGTATCCCTTTTTGGTCATGTTTTTTGCTTATTTCATTTTAGTATCAACACACATGTAGTTTTCGAACATTTTTTTGTTTGAATGGAGTCTTGTAGTCAGAGTTAAAGTCTAATAAATAGAAGATTAAAATAGGCAACAACCAATTTCTTTGAATTACAATATTTTTAGGAATATAAGGACATAACTGAATAAAAAATAAAAATGAAGAGAAAAATAGATTGAAAAAGTATTGGATTTGTCTTATTTTCATCGATTGATTAGCGTCTCTTCACTAAAAGTAAATTTTTACCGAAAAATAATTACAGTTGTTAGAATGTCCTGATGAGAAAAGGTTGTCATTGATGATGATGATAATTAACAAAACACTAATTTTAGCGTGATTATTGATTTTTTAATATTGTGTGTTTCAGAAAGTATCTCTCCTCACAGACCCACGAAAGATCGGGCTGTAAATCATCCAGCGTGTACATCCATTAAGTGCAGAACGAGGACGAGCTTTACTACCCTCATTGCAAGGCGCTGTGAAAACAAGGGACTGTTGGGGAAAAGCAAAAAAAAGTCAATCATTGTTCAACCTGAAGTTACCATGTTCCACGTTACCAGTCGAACTTGTTCGTTACCTCCTTTTCGTTCGGCTAGTTCAATCCTATTTCATTATGTTAATGAAATTAATGCACCAAGTGACGGCTAGTGAATTTGCCGCAAATTGTAGTCGTACACTTGTGCAATATTACGAAGTCATTTGTATAGTTTTTTAAAATAAATTTTAATTACTATTAGTAAACAAAATTTTAATTATTTTTTTCCCCTTCCCAACAAGTAAATTTCCTTTGACCATCTCTAAACCAATATTCCAAAAAGTGTATTCATTCAACTTAGATACATTCAATGACAGCACATTTGAATGTAAACATGCATTTTTAAAACAAAAAGGTTTTTTTTCCTATTGCATCATATTTAAAAAATTAAAGACTAATAAAAAATCAAACCAATAAAAGATTGTATCTACTGCAAAATTATTGACATAAAAGCATACATACAATTAAAGACTAATAAAAAATCAAACCAATAAAAGATTGTATCTACTGCAAAATTATTGACATAAAAGCATACATACATCTTACAGTTAATTCGTGCTCAAATGCAAAATTTTCTTTGAATCAAATCAATTAACTCGTATGAGTGCCATTCACTGTTTCTTTTGAAAACCATTCGAGGGTGAACAAATTAAAAACGCGGTCCTCTCGAAATATAAAACATAAACCAAGTCTGGTTCCTCTTAAGTATATACTCGATCTCACTTACAATTTAATCAACAAATATAAAAAAATAAGCAGTAGATTCAGACCTTTTTTCAGCTCCGCATGAATGTAGAGGAAATATAAAAAATTAATTGCTGAAGAGAGCGACAGTTATTTATTTTATGAGTCGGCTTGTGAAAATACTATTTCAAGCTTATTTTATAAGGTACTTCGTCAGTTATAGCGTTTTAAGAGCTGACACCATGTTATCACAACTAGAATAATTTTAAGTGTAATTCAAATTCATAAATGATTAGCATCATTTGTCCAATTAAAGAGAATGGAAAAAAATGGAACAACCACGATATTACTCATCCACTGCTTCCATCCATTTCATGTGTAAAAACACATCAGGTCTGTGAAAAATGTTGGTCCTGTTCCAGTCTGAATTGTAACATATTTAATACAGTTATTATCATCCCGGGGATGCCTTGGGAAATTGGAGAAACACGGTCAAAAACTTTTTTCCCCCACTGTTTATTGTTTTGAAGAAAGAAAAAAATAATATTTTTTACCGAAATCAATGAGCATATTATAATTCAGGTAATAGAAAAAACCAAGGATTCCAGAAAAAATCGCTTTTGGCAAAATCGAAAAAACTGAATTCTTGCCGTCTTATCATCGATTCCATTCGATATCAAACTTCATCACTCAAAACTCTTGGAGTGTATCAATTTCAGTGTCCAGCAATGATATCAAAGTGGAAAAAGTCATTCGCCGACATTCTTTGAACTCCTCTTCTCCCTTAGAACTCTTTTTTTTTTTTTGATAGTTTTTGATTCGTGTTTTTTTTCGTTAACCAAAAAGGTTGTTAGAAAATCAGTAATTTTCTTAAGAGAGTAAAGTATATCTTAAATCAGAATGTACTTACAACCCGAACGTTGCTAGACCGGAACTCACGATGTTTCTTTTTTTGTGAACTAGCATGATAAAAATATCGCACGTAGAGACTTCATTGGATTTAATTTTGTCACTGTAAATCTTCATTGAACTTCATCAAATCCGGCAAATTTTTGTTCAAGTATCCAATTATTGAGTTAAAGCAAATCGGGCCTCAAGTATATTTTACTGCTCTGTAACGAAAGTTCCATTTTATAAGAAAGGTAGAGTGGGAGAGTGGGCCTCATCAGTTAATACCAGACGTCAGAGGTGGAGCCAGCAATTTGGCAACACCGGATTTCCTCCATTTAAACCTATGCTCGAATAATCGATTCTTGTCGGAGCACCTGCCCCTCCTCCCCCCAAAAAAAATCGATACATTTCCATAGGTTTAAATGGAGAAAAACAATGTTGCCAATTTGCTGGATCCGCAAATGCCAGATGTAGTCAGATCGAAGGTCAATATTCACGAGGAAACTGCAAAAATGCGTATCTCGGTTGCAATTTCAAAATCTTTGCAACAACTTAACATTTTTTAAAAGGAGAGTTAATGTTGATTGGATTTCATTACGGTTTCAAAATTTCACAGAATATTTATCACACAGAATAAAAATTACCGACGATTTCAAGAAATGACGTTCTGTAGTTTTCCATGGAGAAAATAAAGTAAATTAGGAAGTTTGCAACGCCGCAAACCGAGATATGCATTGCTGTAGTTTCTTCATCGATATCTATCAAGTGTGATGGACTACTGACGTGTCAAGTCAAATCATGCAAATTAATACAATATCCTTTAAATTTTGGCGTTTATTTTCCCATTAGTGCATAGGTTCTCATGAGATCAATTCCAGTATTTTGGATTGAGTTTTTGTTCTATTTTTAACTCATAACAGCCTAATTTTGCATTTAATTTCTCGTAATAAAAAAAATCAATTGATGTAATCAAACCATCGCAATATTCCACGAACGATTCAATGAGGACCTCTTTTTCTGGCCGTTTACTTTTCTGTACATTCGTTCAAGTCTCTGGGAATGAGTAACGGAACATTACATCATTTTAACTCGGAAAGTTTGCAGGTTTTTTCTTCTCTTTTTTATCAATATTATCCTTCTTTCTCTACGGAAACGCATCGAATTAATTCAACATTTGAGCCCCCCCCCCCTTTCCTCATCTGCCTCACTTAGTGGGTCAGAATTTAAAGTGATGTACTCAAGACAGGTTTTTTGCCATCATGCCTGTTCGCAATCTATAAATTTCGTTAATTTCCTTGCTGCGATGTTGAATTTTAATGAGTTTCTATTAATAGACGGTACTTTTTAAGTTTGACTAAAGACGAAGTGGTTGGTGTCAGTGCCCTCTTGATGCACCACACCGAATGGGAACCAGAAAAAAACCTTTTCCGGTTTGTCTGCTTTTACGCAATGATTGCAGTCCTTTTAATTTTGATACTAGTTTCCTGCAAGGTTAAATACATCACATCTTTAGGATAACTAGGAACTATTCCCTCTAACCGCTTTACGGTCCAACCCTATGAACACTTCGCGCCTTATGCAAGCGTTACGTGTTACGCGTTATACTCTACAATTTTTACATTATAGAGTATGATAAGAATTGAATTTTCAAGTTCAAGTTTTACTCTACATATATGAAGCTGGACTGTCTTTATTATACCATTTCCTGGTAATTACTATGATCCAGGCGTTAATAATAATACTAAAAAAATGTAAAATCTTCAGAAAGCTCAAATTCTATTTTGACGTAGATGATTTTGAGAAACAAAAAAATGAGCTAGCCCTGGAAAATTCGTTAACTAATTTTTTGGCATGGATGCGTTTTTTTATCCCTAACTGTACACAGGGAATTTCAGGAAGCAAATATTATTTTAATACACCCAATTTAGCCTAATTCTGAAAAAAATTCAAAAAAATTAGGGAATAAAATATAATTGTTGCTGGGGAAAAAAACAATTTTATGATTGAAATTCACAATTAAAAAATCAAAAATTGTAAAAGGGATAACGAATCCTGGATTGAGATAGATGACTCCTCTTTACAACACTAGCGTTGCAAAGTAGTCCTCTACGGGGTTTGAAAAGTTTCATTCCCAGGTGCATCTAGAGATTCTCATCTTCTTTTTTCACTGGAAAAAAACACATTGGATCTAGAGTCCAGACTCTTGAAAACATTGACACGAAAAAATACTTTTGATTCAATCGGATTTTTGCTTGAATCAAAACGAAATCCGCTTACATTAAGAGGCTTGGTTCTTGATTCAAGCTAGATTCTGATTGAATCAAGATAGGTACTTTTTCTTGTCAATGTTTTTAACAGTCTAGACTCTAGATCCAATGTGTTTTCTTTTTCCAGTGTTAAATAAAATCTCTGAAATCTCCTTTTCAAATGAGTTGCTGCAACGCGAAGTATTTATTATCGCAGGCCAACAGAGAGCTGGGCTCGGACAGCTGGCCGGTCATCTTGGAGTCAGGTAAAATATAACTTTGTTTGTCTCGGCGAGCGATCGCTTCCGGGGAGCCACGCGCTTCCGAAACCGAACCCCGTGAACACGCGCATCCCAAAAATTGCGAAAACAATATCAGGTAACGGCTCGCCGGATTCGAGGGGTCATCGATAAAATGGACGTATTTCTGCCAAACAGAACTATGTGCATTATGACGTGAGCCCTGTTATGCATGTATTCTTACGAGTATCAGGGCTCATGTCTTAATGCACATAGTTCCGTTTGGCAGAAATACGTCCAAATATCACACGCCCTGCTCCATACTGCCGGGCTTAGGAAAAACGCCGTATGAGCCTTTACACGTTGGAAGATTTCCTGTACTGAACGCCACATTTACTGGAAAAATTTTGAATTTTTTTTTTAAATTTTTCAGATAATTGTATTCGCAACTTGATCTACATACATACATACATACATACATACATATAAGTCGCTTTACAGCACTCCCTCGCGCTCTACGACCCCTAACCTCCACTGCTCTCTTTCAAACCACAAATCTTGGGGGATTGAGCACCTTAACATTTCCGCTTCAATCCCTTCCCTCCAACCTTTCATTGGGCGCCCTCTGCGTCTTCTCCCAGGAGGAACCCAGTCAAGGACCTTCATCGGCAACCTATCTCCTTCTCCTGCCATTCTCTGGACATGACCATACCAAATGAGTCGTTTAACTTGATCTAACATATCCAATAATTTCAGGGGAAAATATGAACAACTTTCTCAAAAGTACATGTTTTATTCGGAGAAATTTGGCAACACTCGAATGTTCATACGACGTTTTTTGTTAGCACAGAAGTATAGTGGCCACTCAACTCAATAAAGTGCTCCCTAACTTGATGGTGATAGTCAGTGTTTTAGAAGTTTTTTAATTATGAAAGGAATCAACTCCCAAAGCTCTTTTTACATGAAAAATAACAAGAAAAGAGAAGTTCAACAACTATTCTGATGGTGTGGTAAAATAAACACGTTTGTGAGCTATTTGAGTTTATGTTCCTTCATTTTGTAGGGCGGATTTTGTCGAATGATTTGTTTTAAGATTTTGTGCAATTTCCTATGGTGTGTTGGAGGAGTAATGGAGGAATTATTATT